AAATCAGCCTTTATACAGAGACAATCAGATTTTATAAAAAAAACAAAAGTTTCTTGTTCATTTGAAAGTTCCATGAGGGACACTGGAGGGGTCAGCTTATAAATGATTCCATGATCAATATAACAAATGATTATTTCTTTGATGAATGTGCAGGTCACTTTCGATACTCATGTTAAAATTCAGCATGTCAATTGCTACTGTCCTGGAGCAACTAATGATGCTTTCTTTTTATGACCATCATCAGTTACCGATTTATTCCAGACCCGGTAGGATGCAATATCAAATTCAGGGGAACTTGGGCTATGTCACAACCCTTGTTGATGATTATTTTCTAAACGCTATTACCCTCAAATCAATTCTTTAGAGGCAACACTAAGATTGATATAGTGTACCTAATAATCATAATAATAATCCTTGCATTTGATATAGCCCCTTAACACGTCTTTGAGACGTTTCAAAGTGCTTCACAGAATATACTGTAAAGTGAAATGACCATATTTTGGGCAAAACGCAGAGCCAATTGTGCACAGCAGTGTTCCACAAACATTCGTAGATTGAGTGACCAAATTATTATTTTTTAAAAATTATTTTTGAAGGGATTATTACTCCTGAAAAGCAATACGCTGATTGACTAACAACCTACTTACTGTTAGGTAAACTGAGGCATGTGGAGTAAGGAAACTTGCCTACGGTTCCATTCCGCCCTGATCGGGAATCGAACCCAGATCTTTTCCCTTGTGAGGGAGTGCTCTAACTGAGCTACAGGACTCCACATGTCTGTATCTGAGTGTAAATTGAGGGTATCTTTGGCCAACTCAAAAAAGATATTTGTGGGGTGCATGGATCACTATGCTTAAGTTTTCCAGATTCTTGGTTGTATTCTGCTCATTCCGGTGATTCATATAGATGGGCAGCAAGGAAACTCCCACCTTTAATTTCTGTGAGATGCAAATAAGCTCCAATCTTTGTCCACCGGTACAGCTCCCATCCCATTTAAAACAGCTGTCATCACCCCCATACTCAAAAAACTTTCCCTTAACCCATTCCTTTTCTCCAACTACCATCCCATCTCCAAACTCCCTTTCTTCTCCTAAGTATTGGAACAAGTCCTTTCTTCTCTGATTTGCTCTTTCCTCTCCTGTGTTCCCCAGTACAGAGACTGTCCTGGTCAAAGTCACAAATGACATTCTCTCCATCTGTGATAAGGACTCTCTTCCTCTTCATCCTTCTTCATCTCCCTGCCGCCTTCAATACTGTTGACCAATCCATTCTTCTCCAATGCCTCTCCTCTCAGCCTCAGAGTCCTGCCTTTGCCTGGTTTCATTCTTACCTTTCCCAATGTCCCCATTTTGTATCTGTCATCAGCTTCCACTCTCGTACCCCCCCACCCCCCACATGCGACATTCCTCAGGGCTTTATCCTCAGACTCCCCTCTTTAATATTTACATTCTTCAATTCAGTGATGTCATCTGCAGGCATAGGGTTAACTTCCACATGTATGCAGATGACACCCAACTCTATTTCTCTTCCTCCACCCTCAATTTCAGGCCCACTACCGTCCTGACCAATTGCATGTCAGATATCAAATCCTGAATGAGAGCAAACTTTCTAGAGCTGAAGGTTGACAAGACAGAGGCTTTCCTGCTTGGTTCACCTCAGATGCTGACAGCATCACTCTACCATGGATGCACACTCCACTTCACCAAGCCAGTACAGAACATTGGTGTCTTGTTCGACTCTCAACTGTCCTCTAAACCCCTGCCTAAACCTGTTCAGTTTTTCCCGACCTCTGCAATATTGCCCGTCACTTCCTCTACCTTTCTCCTCGGGTCGCCAAGATCCTTGTCATGTCCAGGCTTGACTATACTGCCTCTCTGCTTACTGGACTTTCCAATTCTTCCACAAGCTGCAAACTATTCAGAAATCTGAAGCTTGTACCCGCTACCACAGCAGGCCCGGAGAGCCTATCACCCCAGCTCCACTAGCTCTCCAGTTCAAGAATCTCATACATGTTTTCGTTACATCCAGGCTTGACTATGCAAACTCCCTGCTTGTTGGTCTCCCCAATTCCTCCTTCCATAGGCTGCAGATCATCTGCAGCTCGTTTACTCTCCCGCACCAGGCTCCATGACCCTATGACCCCCATCCTCGCCCAACTCCACTGGCTTCCCATCACACAGAAGAAAAAGTTCAAGATTCTGTTCCTCACCTTCAAAGCCCTCCATGGTCTTGTTCCTCCCTACCTCTGCAACCTCCTAACTCCCTACAATCCTGCTTGCTTTCTCCGCTCAGCGGGCTCCAGCCTGCTTCATGTTCTCCACCTCGTTCGCCCCACTGTTGACGGGCGGGCCTTCTGCCATTCTGCCCCCACCCTCTGGAACTCCATTCTGGAGTCCCTCTGGCTTGCCGCCTTCCTTGCCTCCTTCAAAGCACATCTCAAGACCCTCCTCTTCGACTGTGCATTCAATCACCCTGCTTCCCCCCCCTGCCTTTCACCCTCCCCGATCCTGACCTCCAGTTCAGGTCCGAAACTCTGACTGTCCAGACATGAAAGGCACTCTATAAATGTAATTTGTTGTTGTTGTTAATGTGAAAGGCGCTATACAAATATAATTTTGTTGTTATTGTTGCTCCTTCCCTTGCCTCCTTCAAGGACCTTCTCAAGACCTTCCTCTTTGACGGTGCCTTCAGTCAGGAACCTGGGTGTCTTGTTTGGCCTGGAACTGTCCTTTCTCCCCCACATCCGCGCCATGACCGTCATTGCCTACAACCACCTCCGCGGCATTGCCAGACTCCGCCACTGCCTCACCCCTCAGGCTGCCGAAACCCTCACCCACGCATTTGTCACATCAAGGCTCAATTACAGGAACTCCCTCCTCATCCGCCTTCCCAACTCTTCCCTTCACAAGCTGCAGATCATGCAAAACTCTGCAGTTCGTGTACTCTCACGCACCAGGCTCCACGACCCAATCACTCCCACCCTCGCCCGACTCCACTGGCTCCCCATCCCCCAGAGGATCAAGTTCAAGATCCTCGTCCTCACCTTTAAGGCCATCCATGACCTTGCCTCCTCCTATCTCTCTGACCTGCTGACTCCCTACCAACCTGCCCACTCCCTTCGTTCATCAGGCTCTGGTCTGCTCCATGTCTCCCTGCCAACTCACCCTACCATCAGTGGCCGGGCTTTCAGCCTCTCTGCCCCCACACTCTGGTACTCCATCCCACGGTCCCTTCGCCTCGCTTCCTCCCTTGCCTCTTTCAAGGCCGGTCTCAAGACCCTTCTCTTCGATCGTGCCTTTGGTTTCCCTCCCCCTCTCTGGTTTGCCTCACCCCTACACCACCCCTCCCCATGCTCGGGCCCCGACACCTGATTATTCAGCACTTTGGGACGTCCTCCCGTCATGATAGGTGCTCTACAAATGTAACTTTGTTGCTGTTGTTGTTGCTCCTTCCCTCGTCTCCTTCAAGGACTATCTCAAGACCTTCTTCTTTAACGGTGCCTTCAGTCATTGTTCTCACCCCGACTCCCCCTTGACCCCACTCCTCTCTAATCTAACCCCCAGCTTGGGTGCAAACGCTGACTGTCTAGCACCTTGAAATGTGAAAGACACTATATAAATGTAATTGTTGTTGTTATTATTCCAGATAAGCTCTCAAAGGGGACAAGAAAGGTTATAAAAAGCAAATCTTCAGAGAGAGAAACCTCATTATTTCAGGTTTTCCTCTGCCAAAAACCCTCTCCATTTTAGCTTGATTAAAAGAGTAGCAAAAATTTGTAGATGTTGTTTACCAGCATATTATAAGAGGGAAAAAATTCTGGATATGGTGTCAAATCTGGTATTGGCGGCATTTCAAACATAGGCAAAGCTGTCAATAAAAGCTCTGTAATAAAGTATGTTAATTCTGACTCTTCTGTTTAACTCTTTTCTACAGACAACAAAAATGAAGCAAGAATGCCAGTGTAAAAATGTTTGAGAACTATATTTTACTCCATCCAGTATTGGGTTTTCAAAATGAACCTGGCTTCTGTCATGTAAATTTCAGCAATTTCAGTTTCTATCAGATGAACAGAGCTTCCAATGTTCAGTTCTCTGAGCCCTGTTCCTTAAGTGAAAGTACAGAAATAATTGAACATCTTTATCATAATTTATCACAAGCAAATCCTCGCTGGATAATCTTATTTGCTGAAGATGATTTCTAACTTTTTTCTATTCTTATGGACAAATAATATCCTGACTCATCCATTGCACTTTCCAACTTAATGGTTGCCCTTGATTGATTGGAATATATCCTGAATGTTTGAACTGGCCGGTGGATCCCAATGTTCTTACAACCACAACAGCAAAATTAAATTTGTGTAACGCTGTTCACGTCGGGAGGACGTCCCAAGGCGCTGGATAATCAGTGTTCTGGACTCCAGCTGCGGTGGGGGGGGAGAAAAAATTGGAATCTGTATACATTCCTGAATGGTGCATTTATTAACATAAGGAATCAAGGAAGCGTCCCCTATTTATTGATAGACTTCACCACGGCGTTGGTAATCTGGTAGATACTGATGAAGGATATGGCCCCAAGATTTATGTTTCTATTGTAAGAACACTTCCAATCCCAGAAACAGAAAGAAGGGCCTCCACCACTGTCCGATGAGCCAGAAAGCGGCTGAGTGGACCCCGTGTGGCCGTCCTGTTATTATCAGGGAAGGAACAAGTTGTGTTTCTGTAACTCTGATGTCAGAAGATTAAAACATCAGAGAGGGGACTTTGGCTGCACATGTGATTTTCTCCCCAGTGATGGTTTGGATTAATTCCAGAATTGCTGCACATTTGCTTTTTTTTTAAAAAAGGATCCGCTGTGGGAAGGTGTTGAGGCTGTAGACTTCCCTGGATTCCCACTCAGTCGGTTTTGAAGCCACACGTATCGCCTTGTGTGTGACCCTCTGCGCTTGCCGTCAGCAGCCTGAGCGCCTTTGCCTATGGGTGACGTTTCCGGCGTCTTGTGACGGGGGGCGGGCGGGCGGTGGGGCTAACGGGCGGCGGTGTGTGTTCGGGACTCAGTTCCGTGTGATTTTTTTATTCCATGTCGAGGACGAGTTGCGCTGTCAGTCGGTGTTCCGGGAACACACCCGCGCGGTCACTATGATTAAAGCCATTCTGATATTTAACAACCACGGCAAGCCGCGGCTTTCCAAATTCTACGAGCGTTATGTGAGTATGAGAGGCGCGAGTGGGTGAAGTGACCGACAACCGACACCGACACTGACTCGCGGTCGGCGCTAATGCAGAGACTGGGGACTCGCGCTCCGGGCTGCGTTCTAATAGAGGGACTCGCGCTCCGGGCTGCGTTCTAATAGAGGGACTCGCGCTCCGGGCTGCGTTCTAATAGAGGGACTCGCGCTCCGGGCTGCGTTCTAATAGAGGGACTCGCGCTCCGGGCTGCGTTCTAATAGAGGGACTCGCGCTCCGGGCTGCGTTCTAATAGAGGGACTCGCGCTCCGGGCTGCGTTCTAATAGAAGGACTCGCGCTCCGGGCTGCGTTCTAATAGAAGGACTCGCGCTCCGGGCTGCGTTCTAATAGAGGGACTCGCGCTCCGGGCTGCGTTCTACCCGGAGGTCACGCGCACTCCACAGTTGAAGCCAAGGCACTGATCCCCGGTTGTGACCGCCCCATTTCCACGTATGAAGGATTAAGGAGAGAGGATACATTAAGCCGACGTTCGGGTATACAAAAAAAAACCTGATGGTTGTTTTTTTTTCTTGGAGACAACCGGTTAGCATTGGCAGCGTTTTCCTCCTAAACTGTTCTTGCACGTTATGTTGAAGTTTTCATTGAAACGGCTCTCCGATTCCTAATGCAGTCTTACAGAGAAGCTGCAAGTCTGACCAGGAAGAGATCTGGGAGAATAATGCAATTGAAAAATTTCACTGTAAAGTGATTCTCAGATTGACTTCCTGTTTAAAATTAAATCCAGATTCTTCATTTCAAATGAAACTGTTGAGTTCTATATTTTTCAAAGATTGAATGTTTCAGCGGTGCAGATTATTGCAGTTAAAAATGTATCCACTGCACCATCTGTGGCTCTGCTTTCAGCACTGCACCTCTAGACTGTAACTCTGCCTCAGTAACCTCCTCTTGCCCCCTCTTTTCCATCTTCAGATCACATGTGAAGACCTTCCTCTTGGACCATGCCTATGGTTGCCTTTCCCTGGTACAGTGTCCAGCTCCGCCACTGTTAACTGCTCTGATGCCCTTTGCGCAAGGATGTTTTATTTTGTATACAGTAGTGCCCTTGTGTGAAGGGCACGATAGAAGTGCAAGTGGCTATGTGGATTTTAGGACGCTTTTATATTGGGAGCAATGATTCTTCCCACTTGTTTCTTGTTAATCTTTCAAGCCAAAGGCTCAACTGGCAGGGTTCAGGCTTTCGCTTGGAAGGTTAACAACAACAACAAAATTACATTGCGGCTGAAGGCACAGTCAAAAAGGAGGGTCTTGAGTCGTGCCTTGAAGGAGACAAGAGAGGGAGCAAGGTGAAGGGACTATGGGATGGAGTTCCAAAGAGTGGGGGCAGAAGGCCTGACCGCCAATGGTGCGATGATGGTAACAAGTGGGAAGAATCCCTGCTCCCAATATAAATACTGTCAGAGCATAGAGAACATTTAACTGGCAAGCTTCCTACTGCTTGTCCTAGCTGGACAGCAGTAGAAAGCTTGCCAGACAATGCTCTCAATGTTAAGCTATGCATTTTTTGCTGGTTAAACACCAGCATTACCTGAACTTGCACTCTGTGGTCCCCAAAACTTGACACTTGCTAAGCTTCACTTAATACTGTCTGGAATTAGGTTCTGACGAAGGTTCATGGACCCGAAATGTTGACCCACTTTCCCTTCTCTATAGATACTGCTTGACCTGCTGAGTGTTCCCAGCGATCTCTGTTTTTGTTTCAGATTTCCAGGATCTGCAGTATTTTGCATTTAACATAAAGAAATTGTTGCTTATAGAATTGTAAAATTGACTTTTACGTGTGTGTGGCTGCTCCTTGTCTTGTGGATGGGAGAATGATTCTGAATGTGGGATAGCTATTTGATACTGCTGATTTTAGGGTTAATCTGTTGTTTGAACAGCTAGCAACAGCTTCAATATCATAAAACTTTCAAATGAATCATCACTGACATTGTCTGTGTTCCATTCACTCTCAAACTTGAGGCCACACCAGTGAAAATATTGCTGCTTATTTTATTGAAGCAATTTGATCACCTTTGTCTAAAATATAGACTGTAGTTAATCTTATTTTTTTTCTTCCTTTTAGTTAACTATAGTATATGGAAGTACTTGTGCAGACATCAATGATAACCTTGAGCTAATTACTTTTACGTGGATATTGTGCTAGTATTTATCATTGATATTTTCAGGCGTGTTTCGTCCCTCTTTAAAATGACATTTAAAGGATGCTTTCTCACAATGACAGCTGTTTTAAATGTCAAGCACACAGTTAATTTGGACCACTTGTAAGGTCTTACTTTATAATATGTGATCTACACTCAAGTTCATGTGAAAAGCGGGGCCATTTTTAAATGCAGTTGAGTTCCAATCTTACCCTAACCCTGACTGGTAGTAATACGTAGTTTATTTCTGTTACTCAATGATCATGTATCATAAAAATACTGATATCTCTCTTTTACAGGGGAAATTATTTGACCGTGCCATCCAATGGCTACCTTTGGGGTTATGGCTAGGGATAGCTTACTAACATGAAAGAAAGGTTTAAACAAAACCAGTTTGTCTGATCAATTAATTTCAGATCTCTGCAGATCTCCTGGTAGGTCTTTCTTAGATGAGGTGATCAGATAGTTGCATTTGCACCTGAAGCCATCATTAATTATTTAGTAGATACTTTACACTGAAATAACTAGCTGTGTCCTGTGCTCCTGCAGCTGTGCTCTGTACTCCAAATCAGGTCATGTAAATTTCCAAGTGTTACTTTGCATTTTCATGAGAATTCACAGTCACACATTTTTCCGATAAAGCTGCTGGAACAGGTTTGCGGGACCCGATACCTCAGAGTGTTTTTGATTGTGTTTATGTAATGAAAAAATACCAAAGGCAATGTAAGAAGTTCTTCATGCAATGATTAGTCACAGTATAAATTGCAGATATCCGTTATCCAGCTTCAAGCAAGATGCGCATTTACTTGAGGAATGAATAGTAATAATTATCCTTGCATATGATATAGCCTTTTATTATGTCGTGCAGACGTCTCTGAGCGCTTCGCAGGATATACTGTAAAGTGTATATTTTCTGGGTGAAATGCGACAGCTAATTTGTACCCAATGTCCCACAATAGCCATGGAGTGAGTGACCAATTATATGTGGGGGATTTATTGGCCATGGGATCTTAATGAACACCTGGACAGGCAGACAGGACATTGATTTAATGTCTCATCTGAAGGACAGAAGGAAGAAAATGTAATGAGTTTCCATGCTATGTAATGCCATGTTAGGGTTAGGGCTTGACCACCTGTAATTCACATTTCTGCATTGATGTTGGCCCCACTCATAACGTTTTACACTTTTCCTTTGTACATGAGGGAGCGATTGATGTTTTCAGGGTTTAGTTCAATTTGTCGAACTACAGGTGCTCCAGTCATATTTAATCCTTCCTCTTCAATGATTTGGACTCAAATAAATAAGATAATTAAGCGTCTGAATTAAATTTAGGATCGCTGGGATGTCTATACCTTACTGTTTTGGCTTCAGAGATTCTGCTGTTTTCCTTTGTACAGGGATATTGTTCATAATAATATGATGGCGGTACACAAATCCCCCTATCCATGTATAAAATTCTCTTCAAATTTTAATTGGTCTCATTCTGTAAAGTGCTTTGAGACATTCATTTGCATGAGAATTGCTACATAAATGCAAGTTGTATGGAGCTGTGAGATGCTACTGAGGATGCAACCTTAATTGAGATCGACCCACGATAGTGGTCTAAATAGTCTTTACATTTGATATGGCGCCTTTCATGTTGAAAGCCTTTCACAGGATATGCTCTGGAGTAATTATTGACCGTATTTTGTACGGAAACCATCTAGGAATAGACTAGCATTGTACTGGCTTCAGTGTAACACAAAGCATGGTTGCAATAGTCCAGAATCTAATGCCTGCCCAGTAATCACAATGCAATGAAGGATAGTTGGTAAATAATGGAGCAGATGCAGGAAGTCATAAACAGCCTTGCAGAGTGGACAGATAGGTGGCAGATGAAGGTTAACACATGGAGAAATGTAAAGTGATTCACTTTGATAGGAAGAATAAAGATGCCAACTATACCCTGGTAAGAACATAAGAGGGGTAGAGGAACAAAGGGATCTAGAGATTCACATTCATAAGACTAAAAACAGCACAGGTGGACAAAACTCTAAAGCACGTTACAAAAATATTATTAGGGGAGAGTAGATACAGCTTTCAAGAATTTCGGACAGATTAGAATTTTCTCTCTGGCAATGAAATGATTGAGAGGAAACCTGACAGAGGTGTTTAAAATTTATGAAAGAATGTTAATCTTAATATTAACTTCTTAATATAAGATGTCAGACATCAAGTCCTGGATGAGAGCTAACTTTCTACAGTTGAACATCATCAAGACCGAGGCTGTCCTGATTGGCGCCGGTCAGCGCCTCCACTCCTCAGGCACTGACAGCATCACCGTCCACGGATGCACACTCCACCTTACTAAGCCAGTCTTGGACTTTGGCGGTTTGTTTGAGCCTCAACTATCCTTTCTATTTCATATCCGTGCCATGACCCGCTCTGCCTTCCCCCACCTCTGCAACATCGTCCGGCTCTGCCACTGTCTCACACCGCAGGCTGCTGAGACCCTCATACACGCATTAATAACACCCAGGCTCAACTATGTAAACTCTCTGCTTGTCAGCCTCCCCAACTCCTCCCTCCATTGGCTGCAGATCATCCAGAACTCTACAGCCCGTGTCCACTCCCGCCCCAGGCTCCGTGACCCTATCACCCCAACCTCGCCCGACTCCACTGGCTTCCCATCACACAGAGGATACAGTTCAAGATCCTGGTCCTCACCCTCAAAGCCCTCCATGGCCTTGCTCCCCACTACCTCTGCAACTCTCCTAAATCCCTACCAACCTGCCCGCTCCCTCCACTCAGCGAACTCTGGCCTGCTCCACGTCCCCCACCTCACCCGCCCCACCATTGGTGTGCCTTCTGCCACTCTGCCCCCACCCTCTATAACTCCATCCTGCAGTGCCTCCACCTCGCCCCCTCTGTTGCTTCCTTCAAGACCTATTTCAAGAACCTCCTCTTTGACCATGCCTTTGATCACCCTCCTTCCCTCCCTTGCCCTCCACTCTACCCGATCCCGACCCCCAGCTCGGGTCCGAAACACTGATTGTCCAATGCCTTGGGATGTCCTTCTGACGTGAAAGGTGATATACAAATGTAATTTTGTTGTTGTTAATAGTCTGTTTCCACTTGTCAGTGAATCCCAAAAAGGGGTATAAATACAGTATAAGATAGCCAGTAACCGACCTAAAAGAAAGTTTAGGAGGAACTTCTGAGAATGTAAAACTCACTGCTGGAAGTTGTGCTTAAAGCAGAAACCGTTAACATACTTAAGAAGAAACTTGATGCGCTCATGAAAGAGAAGGGAATACAGTGGGTGTGGAAGAAGGGATTGGAGGCTCACGTGGAATATAAACACCAGCATGGATTAGTTGGGCCAAACGGTCTATTTCTTGCTTTTAATGTTTAATGTAATTCTGCGTAATAGTTTCTATTGACTTCCTGCTGTGAGGTTGATGTATGCGATCAGGCTGTTTGATAGGAATCATTCACGTTAATCAGCTTGTCCTGGCCACACACGTTTGGCTGATCTGGTGTACCTCCAGGTATGTGCCATCCACTCTTCCCTGCACTGCTCAATGTGGAATGTATTATGATAAATCTGCAGCTCGCTGACTACATTGGAATCTGCCTAGTGCCATTGAGATGTGATTATTCAAAGCTGTACCAGACTGGTTAAGAAATAAGATGGTGCAACTTGCAGAGTCTGTTGTACCTCCAACCCTCTAAAGATAGAATTAAGACCGCGTTAACAGAAGTGGTGACGGATGATGCTCACACTCCAGTTAATAATATTTTTCTCCTGATTTTTAATATGTTTTACTTTGCAAATAATTAATGCGTTTTGTAGTGTAGGTAAATGTGACAGTCATTTGCACACAGCGAGGTCCTGCATACAGCCATGAGGTAAATAATAATAATAATAATCCTTGCATTTGATATAGCCCTTTTCACATCTTCTAGACGTCTCAAAGAATATGCTCTAAAGTGAATTGACCGTATATTTGTGGGCGAAACACAACAGCCAAACTGACAGCCTATCTGTCTCGAACACATCTAGGAGGAGAGATTTAGAATTCATATTGTGTGGCCTGAGCATGTCTTTATCTAGCACTAGCATAGTTCTAACAATAATCCTTATGTTTATGCCCAACGTGTCGAAAAAACTATTTCCCTTTTCCGTGAAAATGGTGCCACAGTCTCAAGAGCACAATGGAAATGGTGACAGGGTCTAAATGGGAAGCTTATAAAGTTGGCAGAATCTGAAAGGAAGCAGTTAAAGTAATGGTTTAATAGCTTTGCAACTATTTTAAAACTTTACTGCTATTTGTGCTATTTTCTTTGAGTAGTATAAGCTGTAAGTGCCCCATGTCGAGACCTCAGCTTTTATAAGTTGACGACTGCTTTTCAAATTGTACACCGTTTTCCGTTCATTTCCAGAGTGAAGACACACAACAGCAAATCATCAGGGAAACATTCCACTTGGTGTCAAAAAGAGACGAAAATGTCTGTAATTTTCTGGAAGGCGGCTTGTAAGTAATGTGGAGCTCTGGCAAATACGTGGTTGAGCACTGCATTCAAAACTAAAAATATTCTAGTGATAAACAGCATGTTTGCAGAATATGAGCGAGAAATCGATACAGCCCAACGCCTTGAAGAAATTCGAAACGGGCTGTGTATTGTGTTACATTGTGCTGAGCTACAGTACAGTGTTCGTGTAAGATATCCTGCACCTTTAATGTAGACATTTGATACCATCTTTTAGGAGTGTTTTTCTTTAATAAAGCACAGTATATAAATTGTCTGGCAGAAACCTTGAGCCTGCAAAACATGGCCTTTATTTTCATGTATGTGGAGTTTTAAGCTGCTTCTGCCTTTAGATATGCATTGGCCTTTTTTTGTGAAGTAGGCATTTTGCACTTGCGTTCATGAGATACAGAAATTAGCTGCTTATTGAAGCAAGATTGCAATAGTCCAATGTATCCATGTCGCGTGTGTTGCTCGTTGTTAGTAAACACTTCCTTCAGTGTGGTCTTTCTGCAAAGTATTTGTGATGTATGAAGGAATCCCAAACTCAAGAGTAAGTTGTGGGTTTAGAGGGCAGAGTATTTCAACTGTGTAAGATATTGAGATTAGATATTGGAAGAATGTTGCTTATAATTGTTTGTACTGTACTTGCATTTCTTGTTTTTTGGGGTGTTGGGGAGGTGCCAGCTACAATATCAGATCTACATTGTTGTGAAAAAATGTATGTTAGCTATACATAGTCCTATGATAACTTTAGATTTCTTAATATGAGTTGTCAGTTTTGTTTTCTGCAATCTTCTTTGTTTCAGGTTAATTGGAGGGGCTGATAACAAACTTATTTACCGACACTATGCAACTTTGTATTTTGTCTTCTGTGTGGATTCTTCAGAAAGTGAGCTGGGGATCCTGGACCTAATTCAGGTATGTGGTCTCCTCACCGCATTGATCAGGCATTTTGGTAATAACACACATCTCAGTCACCATCACCTTCAGCTCCGGATCATTGGCTCCTGTAAAGTGTCAAGCAAATAGCATCTATGTCATTTGCCTGTTGATAAGAATTATTTTGCATTCCACTCTCAGTTCAGTCACTTCTGTTTTGTGAGGCACAATATTACAATTGCAGAATTGGGACAGTTATATTTTCCTTTTTTTGCGGGATGGGGTTGAATTCCTGATTGACTTGCACTACTACGTCAGCTACTCATAGTACTATAGTTCCTTTATCTTACCCAGAGCAATTCATAATTGTAAATCTCCCTTTTTTATTTACACCACTGTTCAATTGATATTCTACCACTTTGATACAGGTTTCAGCCAGTTCGGTGCTTACTGTTTGCATTGAAATAATCCTTGGCTATGCCACATGTCTCATAGCAATAATCCAATTAAACAGTATGCCATTACGACATTTATTGTGAAAGACACAAAAATGTTTCTGTTCTGTTAAACTGGTTTCTGTCGCAAGCGCATTCCCAAACCTCAACAAAGTAGGATGCTACTTGCAAACATGAAATAATTCTAACTGAATTTTGGACTGAGTTCTATCCCTACATCGGAAAAGTTCCATAAATAATTGGATTAAAGGGTTATCACTGCCCTTAGGAGTTTCTTTTTAACTTGACTCTGATGGTAATGGATTTTATTTTCAGAAAATTCCACCCCACCTCTACTGTCACAGAAATAGGCCTTTCTATCGTTGAAATAAATGCAGTGGTGCAGACAGATGTACACCATTGCACTGGAAGTTTTAATCATGTTCTTTTCATAGCACTTGTGTGAATGGAATTCTGCATTCTTGCAAGTTATGTATTCGTCTGTTTCTTTTTTTTACAACAATTGTCTTGAGAAAAATACACGATTCCTTGTCCGCTGGTACCGTTCCCATCTCTTTAAAAACAGCCATCATCACTTCTATCCTTAAAAAAAACCTGAGACCCATTCCTCCTCTCAAACTACCGCCCCATTTAAAACCTCTCTTTCCTCTCCAAGGTCCTGGAATGAGTCATTGCCTCCTAGCTTCCCTCCTTCCTCTCCCGCCACTCCCTTCACCAACCCATCTAATCAGGTTTCTGTGCCACCCACAGCACAGAAATAGTCCCTGGTCAAAGTGACAAATGACATTCTGTCCATCTGTGACCAGGGCTCCCTCTGCCTCCTCGTCCTCCTTGACCCCTCTGCTGCCTTCGACACCATCGACCACTCTATGCTCATCCACCGCCTCCTCTCACCTCAACCTTCATAGTTCTGTCTTTGAATGGTTCAGATCATACCTTTCACACCGCCACTACTTTATCTCCACAAACGGTTTCTCCTCTCGCCCCCGCACGGTCTCGTGTGGCGTTCCTCAGGGCTCTGTCCTTGGTCCCCTCCTCTTCAATATCTATATGTTCCCTCTTGGGGTCAACTTCCACATGTATGCGGATGACACCCAACTGTACCTCTCTGCCTCCACCCTCGACTCCAGGACCACTGTATGTCTGTCATACATCAAGTCCTGGGTTGAGAGCTAGTTTTCTTCAGTTGAATGTCAAAAAGACTGAGGCTCCCCTGATTGGCTGTCGTCAGCGCCTCCACACCTCGGGTCTGACAGCATCACCGTCCAGGGCTGCACACTCCACCTTACTAAGCCAGTCTGGAACCTTGGGGTCTTGTTTGACCCTCAGCTATCCTTTCTACCCCACATCCTTGCTATGACCCGCTCTGCCTTCCCCCACCTCCGCAACATTGCCCACTCCACCACTGTCTCACAACGCAGGCTACTGAAACCCTCATACACGTTTTCATTACACCCAGGCTTGACTATGCAAACTCCCTGCTTGTCGGCCTCCCCAACTCCTCCCTCCATAGGCTGCAGATCATCCAGAATTCTGCAGTCTGTTATCTTTCTGCCGCTCTACTCCCACCCTCTGGAGCTCCATCCTACAGTCCCTCCGCCTCGCCCCCTCTCTTGCCTCCTTCAGAACCCATCTCAAGACCCTCCTCTTCAATTGTGCTTTCGATCATCCTGCTTCCCCCCCGCCCTCCCCAATCCCGGCCCACAGCTCGGGTCCGAAATACTGACTGTCCAGCGCCTTGGGGCGTCCTCCCGACGTGAAAGGCGCTATACCAATGTAATTTTGTTAACAAAAACAGAAGTCGCTGGGAACACTCAGAAGGTCAGGCAGCATCTATGGAGAAAGGAATGTGAGTCAACATTTCGGGTCCACAACGCTTCGTCAGAGCTGAGGCATGTTGGGAGGGAGATGCTGCCTGTCCTGCTGAGTGGTCCTCCCAAAACATTGACTTACTTTCCTTTCTCTATAGATGCTGCTTGACCTGCTGAGTGTTCCTTCCAGCATCTGCAGTATTTTGCATAATGTTATTTTTTTTGCTCTTGTTGTTGACTCCACACACTCCTGAATCACAGTGAGCAACTGTGGAATAATCTATCCAATATGCTTTGCTCTGTTGGTCTCAGGGTTTGTAAAGCTAAAATTGGTTCAGGAGTCTTGGTGGGTCTCGATTACTTAGGGAAGGATTCTCTTTGAGGCTCTCAAAGCCTGGAGCTTGAAATGCTTACAAAAAGCACATTTAATTTGTGCTTGGCTTGTTGTGTCATCAACAGATAATTTTAAATCTTAAAACCACTGGGACTTACGTAAGCATTTTGTCTCTGGGGAGGATTTTGCACTGTGTTTCTTTGTTTTGATTTAAAATGTTTATGGAGAGTGAAATTCTGAAGAATTCTGATTTTCGCTGCTTTCACATGATGCTGCAATGAGAGAGTTGTGGATGTAGTACTCGACACGGTGTGGCTTGGATGAAGAGCCTGCTGACCGTACCCCCGCAGTCACCAATCTGAGCCAGCACTTGTTGCTTAAAGTGCTGAGCATCTTACTGGTGTTCTCTCTGTGTCTTATGTTTAGGATCTGTTGTATTTCTCTCAATATTATTGGTCCCAGGGTCCATTGAGACCGCCTCCTGACGTGAAAGGCGCTATACAAATGTAATTTGTTATTGTTATTGGTCGATGCATGCAATGAATTTCTGTTGACTGTGTTAGGGAATGGGAGCCAAGCCACGACTGAGTTGGAATGGGAGTTTACTATAAGTGGGCTAGGGAGCATGGCCTATCTGGGAGTGATTGATGTTGAGAAGTTTTACTTTGTGCTAGTGGATAAAGAGTTCTAGTTGCTGGAAAAACAAAACAAGCGGCACAGTTGCCCGATGTGGTAAGTGAATGTAGTAATTACAGTCAGTGTGGCCTGGGTTTTTGCTTGTCTTTAAATATTCTCATTTCCAGAGTAGCAAATGATGTGAATGTAACCTGATAATGGTTTGTGAGACTTATAAATTATTTCGGCAATTGTATTGTTGTATTGTAACTTCTAGTTACTTAGCAACTTAAATATTTCCTAGTTAATGAGATCACCCAGGCAATCCATACATTTTTAAAGAGTAAATCTAGAAATTGAAGGAAATATCATGGTTTGCTTCATAGGCCATTCTTGAATCAAGTAATTCATGCAATATGTGGAAGTGCAAAAAAGGATTGTTCCTGTTTCATTGCTTTATATTCCTGGACTAAGCACAGGAAAGGAACCAGATGAATTTGGGTTTGAATCCTGATAAAATCCATTCAGCACGTTGCCCTTTGGAGGTTGATAAAATGAGTACCAGGTCTAAACATATCCTTTTTTGGGTAGATAGGCAGATTTACCTTAGGATTTTACTGCCTAAATCAGAACTGTCAGCAATAATCCAAAGCTTTAATTGTTGACCAACTTGCCTGGCTCATTAATGAGATGTGGTAATGCCTTGGCAGATAGTGGTGGGAGGGAGGGTGTCTGAGCTATACATGCGCTGTGAAACTTACCAGTGATTGATTGTACTGATGAGTTTCCAGTATCTTTCAGATTAATGGAAACATGACCTGGCACAGAACAGTGTAATTGGTAATACAAGACAGCTGCACCATCTCTAAGGTTCTGTAAAACTTGCAGCAATTATATTGCAAGTTTGAAAGGCATCCCATCCCTTTTCATGTAAATTTCTGAATTTTTTAGTGTATTTTTAAAGAATGGCAGTCTTAGCCACACTCTTCTTACGGGCAGTGGTATGAGCAGCAGTGATGTCCTCTAATGGGCAGGCAGGAGGTTGACTTCATGAAGTAAAGTCTAAAATGTCTATTCACCCATCACCTTCTGAGTTTAAGACCCTGTAATGGCCTTTTTTGAATCTTTTGTGTGTGAGTGCAGGCCAGGCTTCACTCTCGAGATGAAAAATGTTGTCTTCACTCCTTGATGCGCCACTACCTATGTGTTTTGTACAGAACACACATGTTGCCAGAGTCCTCATGGTACCAGTGAGGAATCTAGCAGAGGAGCCTCAGTGTGATTGCTGAGAGCAGGCTGGCTGTGGCCGTGGAATTGGAACTGAAAGTTCATCATGTATGATTTTCGTCGGGAATTCGAATGATAGTACATTAACATCAGGTCATCATCTTGAGCTGTTGGATGATACATCTTGCAGCGTTAGTATCATGCTGGTTAGACCAGCACTATGAATGCATGCGTCTGTGACCTTACTGACAGCCTCTGCAGAGTATCTTGCACAACAAAAGCTCTGCCAGTAATGTAAAAATGTTTTCAACGCAATACAGTGAGCTTCATAACGCTGGTCTTTAAGATTTCCAGTCTGCCGTGGATTATGAGTGTGAGACCAGCAGAGGGTGCTGTAAGAGCTGGAAACCTCCTTCAGGACTTTCTCAACCACTTACAATAAAATTTACATTTATATGCTGTAGCACTTTTCACATTGGGAGGATGTCTCAAAAGAGCTTCACACTGCGGGCTGGGCACTCGAGCTGGTGGGTGTGGGCCGAAGAGGGAGGGGAGAGGAAAAGTGACTGCAATTGTTGTCAAAGAGATTTGTGTTGAGGCAGGCTTTGAATGTGGAAAGGGAGGGAATGAGTGGGAAGGACCTGGATGCGATTCCAGAGAGTGGGGACAGAATGGCTGAAAGTTCACCCACCAATGGTGGTGTGGTTAGGGCAGGGGGAATGAAGTAGGCCAGTATTTGCTGAGCAAAGGAAGCGACTGGGTTGGTAGAGTTGTAAGAGGTCACAGAGGTAGGGTGGGGTGAGGCCATGGAAGGATTTGAAAGTGCGGACTCTTAAATTCAATCCAATGGGGGATGGGTAGCCATTGGAGCTGAGCGAGGATGGGGTGATGGGCTCATGGTGCCTGGAGCGGAAGAGGACATGGGCTGCAGAGTTCTGGGTGGTTTGCAATTTGTGTAAGGAGGAATTGGGGAGTCTGGCCTGGAGAGTTTTGGAATAAACAAACAGAAAGGTATTTTCCCTTGACTAACTGCCCTCTTCATAAAACATAGTCAGTGTTTTAATTAGAACAATTAAAAGTTCAAACAAATTTTAACAAAGTTAAATAATTTCAAGAAATGAAAGTCTTTTTTTAAATAGACGCAGAATTTCCACTCTATTTTTGTCTAATTAATGCAGATTATAATGCAGGTGTCCTAGTGCTGTTTATTTTTGCTGTGTCCCAACTAAACTAAAACCTTTGCTTTGTGGATAGGATGGAAACAGATAAATTGTTTCCTCTGGTGGGGGAATCCAGAACAATTGGGCATAATCTTAAAATTAGAGCTAGGCAATTTAGAGGTGAAATCAGGAAGCAGTTTTTCACCCAAAGAGTAGTGGAAATCTGGAACTCTCTTCCCCTAAAAGGTTGTGGATTCTGGATCCATTTGCATTTTCAAGACTGAGGTGAATAGATATTTTTTAGGTCAGGGTATCAAGGGATATGGGGCAAGGGCGGCTAATTGGAGTTGAAGTACCGGTCAGCCATCATCTTATAGAATGGTGGAACAGGCTTGAAGGGCTGAATGGCCTACTCCTGTTTCTATTTCGCCCACCAAATATACAGTGAATTCACTTTGCAGTATATTCTGTGATGTGCTTTGAAACATCTTGAAGACGTGATAACAACAACAACTTGGATTTATATAGCACCCTCCACGCCGAATGGAGTCACAGAGCATTTCACAGTAACGGATCCCAGGGCCAAGCCAGAGGAGGGGGAGGAAGGTGATCAAAGGCACGGTCAAAAAGAAAGGTCTTAGCAGAGACCTGAAAATAGGAAGAGAGGAGGTGAGGCAAAGGGAGTGAGGAAGGGAGTTCCAGAGCCTCGGGGCATAGAGACTGAAGGCACGGCCGCCGAGGGTGGAGCAGAGGACCCGGGGGACAAGGAGGAGGCCAGACCCAGAGGAACGAAGGCAATAGTCACTGTTGTGAGGAGAGAGGAGGTCAGAGAGATAGGGCGGTGCAGAGGAGTGGAGGGATTTGAAGGCAAGGGTGAGGATCTTGAAATCGATCCTCTCTGGGACAGGCAGCCAGTGCAGTCTGGCAAGGACTGGGGTAATCAGGGAGTGGAGTTTGGTGCGGGTGAGAATGCGGGCGGCAGAGTTTTGAATAATCTGGATTTTGTGGATGGGAGGCCGGCGAGGAGGGCATGAGAGTAGTCCAGCTGAGAGGTGACAAAGGCAGGGGCCAGGATTTCAGCGGCTTTCGGAGAGAGGTATTGGTGGAGACGGGCAATGCGTTGGAGGTGGAAGAAAGCGGTGCTGGTGAGGGACCGGATGTGGGGGAGGAAGGATAATTGGGGGTCGAACCTAATAAGGTGCTCTATCAAATCCAAGGATTATTATTATTGTGTTTCTGTGTTTCTTGGATAAATCTGTTTATTCTCAGACGTTTGCGTATTACACATCATCTGTCAGAATATGCTCATCCCCAAGAGTTTGTGTAAATGTGTTGCCCTTGGATCGGAACTTGCTTCTTTCCTGCCCTCCCTCCCTCCCTCCTCTGTTATCTTAACGTTTAATTTAGTAATTTAGTCAGAAGTTTATGAACAACCACTTCCCAACAACTATTGGGAATTGAAAAAAAATTGTTTTTTCATTAAAGCAAAATCAGTGGTAGTTCCCGCACATTAGCTTCACATTGCCTCATTAGACAGTGGCTTCAGAGTCTCTCAAATGAAAGTTTTCTAGCACTGTTGTTCACACATGTTCATCACTCTCACAAAGAATGACCCTCTTAAAAGGAAAGTGCTTTCAGACTATGGTCTGTGTTGCCGACGGATTTTATGTTTTTTGTGCACTCCATCCAATAGGATTCAAACTATTTTTAAAACTTATCTTTTTCTTTCTGATTTTTCTTAACAGGTGTTTGTGGAAACATTAGACAAATGCTTTGAGAACGTGTGTGAGCTGGATTTAATTTTCCACGTAGACAAGGTAATAACTATTGATGATGTTGATTCACGATGAATGTGTGTGTTGGCGATCAGTGGAAGAGAGCTTATTTGTCTGATACACTTTGCTTTAGTTTCATTTGCTGCTCGCAGTTAAGTGCATCCCATTTCTCAAACGTACCAAGAATTTGGGACTCAAAACTTTCTGTTTAAAAATTTATTAAACCGGCACCAAGAATGTTGTATGTCAATCACCTCCAAGATTCGTGCAAGATATTGGGCGAATTTTTTTTATTCTGTAATGTAAACCATTTTGCAACATTTTCTTTTTGTTACGCTTGTCAAGCTTGCGAGTCTCCATCTTGTGTTTCGAATGCATCTCAAACCAGATGCTTTTACCGCTGTTTGTTTTTAAGAAAGGAGGCCACTGAAAGGAGGTCATTCAACCCATTGTGCCTGTGAATGTTATCCATTTAGTCTCACTCCCCTGACCTTTTCCCATATTCTTTTATAAATTTATTTTGCCTAATTCCTTTTTAAAAGCTCTCAGCAATTACGTATCAACCACTATCTTTGGTATAGTGTTCCATGTCTTAACAAAAAAAATCTAACCTCTCCCTTTATTTTTGTAATGATGAGTTTTAAATTTACACCTGTAGTTACTGACCTCACCATCCAGTGAAATAGCTTCTTTCTATTTATCACGACTCTGCTGTACCTGTTTCCCTTGTTGTATAAAGTGTTTATTTTGTAACTTAACACATTTTCCTTTTTCGTTATTGATGTTGAACATGTCTCCTTTTTAGGTTTCTGACTGTTGGTATGGTTTTAGGATGAAGTCCAGTTTATTTGTATTGGAATGTTGGAAACTGTGAGGTTTCCTGTCACATTGGAAGACTATTTCAAGGTCTATAAAATTGAAGTTGTAGTATAAACAGCTGTGGGAGCGTGTTACTCGGTGGGGAGTTTGCAGAATCTCTCAAAACTGTGAGAAAAGCTCAGTGATTTACACGTTCGCTCCAAATTCGGTCAACGTGTTAAAACATGAATGTACTTCCAAGTGTTCAGTGTTCGTACTGTATACAGACTGGAAACTTTTTATTTTCATCTTCCTTTGAGAAGCTTTTGATATTTAATTTTCCCTTGTTAATATGTATCTTTTGTCGTTGGCCACTGAGACTTTCTGAGCAAAATTTGCTTCAGAGAATGATGGCAAGAAGACTGCTTTACGACATGAGGAATTTTTTTGACCTCTGGGAGATTGCTAGAGGCAGAGCCAATGGTGAACCAAAGCAGAAAGGTTTCACATTCAGTTGAAAGAGGGTTTAAGGCTCACACATGACTTGATGCCTGTCAGGACAGCGGTTGTCAAGGATGAAGGCAGGACAGTAGAGTTGGTTGTCATCCACGTACATTTGGAAGTGGACTCATCCTGTGGGTTGCATTATTGAGAGTACCATATGGATAGGAAATGATCATGGTTAGAGTGGAGTTAACTGTCCAGAAGAGAGGGATTTACTGAGAAAACAGACACCTGGTTTTACAGAGGAATTACCTTTTTGTGTTTTTTGGTTAGCCAGGTGTCTGACACATGTGGGAACTTGTCAATGAGCTTAAGAATATCCAAACCAAACCGTGTTCTATGTCACTTGCAAATAGAAATCCCTGTATTTGGAATGGAATGTGCACTCTCTTCCCAGAGGGAAGATCCTGCTCGCCTGATTCCAGAGTATTATTTTTTTAACATTTTTATCTCATTTTCAATCCATGACTGTTTGTGGGACATTGCTGTGTGCAATTGGCTGCCGCATTTCGCCCACAAATATACAATCAATTCACTTTACAGTATTTTCTGTGAAGCGCTTTGAGACGTTGAGAAGACGTGAAACAGCGTTATATCAAATGCAAGGATTATTATTATTAGGCTCAGGTTGGCAAGAGCCAAGGCTTCAGGACCCAAAATACTTTATGGTACTGCTGGAGTTTAACCTGCCCCCGGTGACCGGTCAACCAATAAGCCAGGCTGGCTAGGCTGATATCAAGTTACATAGAGGGCTGGGAGAGATGAATAGCAATGTAATCAGAAATAATCCAGGAAAAGAAGGAATTAGACGAGGGAGAAATGCAGTGCAGACTCATTCGGTCTTGGAGTGCATGTGCGTAAATGCAGAGTGTGACAAATAAGATTGGTGAGCTGCAGGCTCAAGTTGCTACATGGGGCTATGATATAGTGGCAATAACTGAGACCTGGCTCAAACAAAGCAGGAATGGGAGCTGAATATTCCTGGCTACAATGTATTCAGGAGGGATAGGGAAGGAAAAAAAAGGAGGTGGTGGGGGGGCTGGGGGCTGGCAATATTGATTAAAGACATGGTTATGGCCCTGGAAAGGGACAATGTGCTAGAGGGTCCAAAACCAGAATCTATTTGGTTGGAGCTATGGAGTAAAAAAGGGGCTGTTACTTTGTTAGGTGTATACTATAGACCCCCACCAAATAGTGGGAAGGAGATAGACAAGCAGATCTGCCAAGCAGATTTCAAAAAGATGCAAAACCAATAGAGTAGTGGTAATGTTGGACTTCAATTATCCTCACATAGACCGGCAAAATAACAGTATAAAGGGCAAGGAGGGGAAGGATTCCTGAAATGTGTGCAGGATAACTTTCTGGATCATATTGTTTCCAGCCCAACGAGGAAGGAAGCAGTGCTGGATCTAGTCCTGGGGAATGAAGTGGGGCAAGTGGAGCAGGTTTCAGTAGGAAAGCATCTGGACAACAGTGAACACAACATAACAGGTTTAGAGTACTTATGGAAAGGGACAAGGGGTAATCAAAGGTGAAGATACTCAACTGGAAGAGGGTTAATTTCAGTGAGTTAAAAAGGGAACTAGCCAAAATGGACTGGAAAGAAGGATTGGCGGGTAAAACAGCTAACGAGTAATGGGAAGCCTTCAAGGAGCAGATAATTCGGGGACAGAAAAAATACATTCCCACAAAGGTATGGCATCTAAACCTCCCTGGGTGACTAAGGAAATTGGAACTAAAATAAAGCAGAAAAAGGAAATGTCAGGTCCAAAATACAGAAGATAATTAAACAGAATATAGAAAGTACAGAGGAGAACTGAAAAAGGAAATAAAAGAGGCAAAGAGATTATATGAGAAAAACAACGACAAAATTACATTTGTATAGCGCCTTTCATGTCGGGAAGACGTCCCAAGACGCTGGACAGTCAGAGTTATGGACCCGAGCTGAGGGTCGGGGTGGGGAGGCAGTGGGGAAAGCAGGGAGATCGAAGGCACGGTCGACGAGGAGGGTCTTCAGGTGGATCTTGAAGGTGGTGAGAGAGGGGGCGAGACGGAGGGACTGAGGGCTGGAGTTCCAGAGGGTGGGTGCAGAGTGGCGGAAGGCCCGCCCATCGATAGTGGGGCAAGCAAGGCGGGGGCTGTGAAGCAGGCCAGAGCCTGAGAGCAGAGAGTGCGATTAGGGTGGTATTGGGTTAGGAGATCGGAGAGGTAGTGGGGAGCAAGACCGTGGAGGGCTTTCAAGGTGAGGACCAGGATCTTGAACTGTATCCTCTGTGTGATGGGAAGCCAGTGGAGTTGGGCGAGGATGGGGGTCATAGGGTCATGGAGCCTGGTGTGGGAGAGTAAACGAGCTGCAGAGTTCTTGATGATCTGCAGCCTATGGAGGGAGGAGTTGGGGAGACCAACAAGCAGAGAGTTTGCATAGTCAAGCCTGGATGTAATGAAAACATGTATGAGGGTTTTGGTGGAGTGAGACAGAGGCGGAGCTGGGCGACGTTGCGGAGGTGGAGGAAGGCAGAGCGGGTCACGGTCAAATGTGGGGTAGAAAGGATAGTTGAGGGTCAAACAAGACACCAAGGTTCCAGACTGGCTCAGTGTGCAACCATGGATGGTGATGCTGTCAGCGCCTGAGGTGAGGAGGCACTGACGGGAGCCAATCAGGAGAGCCTCGGTCTTGTTGAAAAGATTAGCAGGTAACATAAAAGGGAACACTAAGGTAGGGTCCAATTACGGACTAAAGAGGAAATCTTCTTGTAGAGGCAGAGGGCATGGCTGACGTACTGAATGAGTACTTTGCATCTATCTTCACAAAAGAAGAGGATGCAGCCAATGCCACAGTATTGGAGAGGGAAGAGAAATTGGTTGGGAATAAACCGAGATGAGGTACTAAAAAGGTTGTCATTGCTCAAGGTAGATAAGTCACCCAGTCTGGACAGGATGCTTCCTGGGTTACTGAGGGAGATTCTGGCCACAATGTTACAATCCTCCTTGGACACCGGGGTAATGCCAAAGGACTGGAGGGTTGCAAATGTTACTCCCCTGTACAAAAAGGGCCAAAAGGATAACCCAGGAACTACAGGCCAATCAGTTTAACGTCAGTAATGGGGAAACTTCCAGAGACTATAATTTGGGAGAAAAATAGAAAAATATGGGTTAATAAAGGACAGCCAATACAGATTTGTTAAAGGCAAATCATGGCTAACAAACCTGATAAGAGTTTTTTTTGGTGAAATAACGGAGAGGGTGGATGAAAGTAGTGCAATTGATGTAGTTTATATGGATTTTCAAAAGGCGTTTGATAAAGTGCCACATAAGACTTGTCAGCAAAATAGAAGCTCACGGTATTAAAGGGACAGTGGCAGCATGGATACAGAAAAGAACTGGAAGACAGAAAGCAGAGAGTGGTGGTGAACGGTTGTTTTTTTGACTGGAGGGAAGTGTGCAGTGGTATCCCCCTGGGATTAATATTGGGACCACTGCTGTTTTTGATCTATATAAATAACCTGGACTTGGAAATTGTACTCCCTATACCCAACTTTGCAAATACTAAGCTTGGAATAGGAGTAGACAGTGAGGAGGATAGTAGCAGACTGCAAGGGGACATAGACAGACTGGTGAAATGGGCAGACACGTGGCAGATGAAGTTTAATGTGGAGAAATGTGAAGTGATACTTTTTGGGAGGAAGAATGAGGAGAGGCAATATAAGCTGATGGTACAATCTTAAAGGGGGTGAAGGAAC